ACTTGTAAATGAATCTTCACGATAATGATTCTTATCTACCGAAGGATAAAGTAAACTGTAAGAGCTATAAGTGCACTCTGCTAATGAGTTCTAACTAGTGGAATTCTTCGTTTTCATTGTGCTGTCCGAAAAGAAGGTGGGGTTGAAAAACTTGTCCAGTTATTATTTATTTTGTATTTTATCCCTTTACGTCCCAGTGGAACATAAGGCTTAGAGCTAGAACATCGAAATTTCGGTGGAAGTGGCATTTATTTTTACGAGATTGGGTTGCTAGCTTCATGTCCAACCTCCCCTCTTTACCAGTTTTGTTACTGGTCTAGCGAGGTTTTGGGGCGCGTCTGCTGGGGGATCGAACCCTGAACCACATGAGGCATAGTTGGCAAGCATTTTACCGATGTGCCCCGACGCACCAAGAATGTATGCAAAAATCTCCATAAATAATAAAAACTCCAGACCAAGGAACATAAAAAACATCTTTTTGAACAAAAACGTTTGTTGTTAATTTATCATGTACATGAAAATGTGATGGAACTGTATTCATAGCAAGTTTTTAGTGTTGAAGTAATCTCAATGCTGACCAAGCTTGTACCCTACTTGAACTTCATGTGCAGGTAAAGGTTAGAATTTTATTATTTTTTAAGACAAATATTTTGATAAGTATTAATGTAATGTAGCTTAGGCAAGCGCAGTCAGGAACAAGGCCACCACATAATATATGTATATGTACCATTGCTTTCAACATTTATGATTCCAAAGGAAACTTGTTGGTGATTCTTTCCGGCCCAGCCCGGCCATCTGATCTTCAGCATAGATCCAGCAAAGACAGTTAGTTGTTGATGAAGGTCTAGAACAGGCTGTTGGAAATATTCTTTGTGACCCGCCCACCAAGTGTCTGATCCATATAGGAGAACTGACTAGACGTTTGTATTGAACATTCGAATTTTGTCGTTGGTGCTGAGTGACGAAGATTTCAAAATTGGTTTCAAATTGATGAATGTGTTTCTCGCCTATTAATAAATAAGTGTTATTAATTGTTGACTTATATTTTCATATTCTTATCCTTTTACAGTTTACTACATGAAAGTATACTTTCGCATTAAAATTGATTAGTTGAGTTTAACCGAGTACATCACTGATGATGTGATCCTCAGACGGGCGAAACAGGCATCGTGTATTTAGAGTACTTTCATATGACTAGTAAGCACTACTGATTGATGTGGGTGATTTCCGACTACTAATACAAATTAGTGGTTCATACATCATCAGGACAAATCAAACCAGCTTTTGACATTCTGTAGACACTGTTAACCAAATGTCTAACAGTAATATAATATATTGGAACTTTAACTATTCCATTTGTAAAAGTTAAATAAAAAGAAAGTAAACCGGAAGCACTTTTACAATATCCATATTATACTATATTAGTTCTGCTTCAATAAGAGATATTGGAGATATTTATAAACCACACTCTCACTGTTTAAATATGTATCATACTACTACCAATTGTATGAAAACGGAGTATCGTTTCTTTGCTGTGCCTAAGTAGTGATCATTGACGTAAACATTAGACTAACACAGAAATAGAAAAGTAGCGTATAGGCGGATTTTAAATTATCTCACAAACATCACTGAGAAGATTATGAATGTACAGCATTATTGTTCATTTAAATAAAGCAGAAATAAATGTTTTTGAGGAACAAGGCGAGGTCATCATTTATTTCACTGCTTTCTCCTCAGCTGTGTGTAATCTAGCTAGAACTTATCCTGTAGTCAAGTTGGTTCCCTTTCATCGAAAATCATACTCTTGGTGCAATCAAAAGTTGTTGGATACCCCGCCTTTGTTAACTCGAATTGTGTATATCTTAGATTTTCTGAACACGTAAAAGAAAGTTTACGTTTTGATGGATTAAATGTTTTGAACAATGATATTGCCAGACATCTCGTTAATGTGATGAACACTGTCATATTAATAGACAGCATAACTTTTGTCAACTTCGCTGGAGTGATTGCTATCAAACGTTTAGAACCTGATTTATGTGTCCAGATAGATTCGATTATCAGTTTTTTCCTTGCTCTGGAAACTCAGAATCTAGTCTTTTCTTCTCATTTGATTACATAATCTTTCGCTCTAACGCAGATTAGTATGTTTCTTTTTGTTTCTTTGATGAATTGAACTTACCACACTATTTCACAACCAATTAGCTACTTATCACCAACTTCTTATCTCTTCTTGCATTGATTGTGCAACCTAATTTTCAATGTATTTCGACGGTTAATTTTGTGTTTTTGTATATTGTTTAATGTTTGAACTCTTTGCATAAGTTATACAAATGTAACTTCTGAGCATTGTTTAACAGTTTTGCACCTCTGCTAATCCCAAATCATGTAAACCTTGCAAGTATGTTAAAATTTCTCAGTACAAGTAATACATAATTAACTTTTGAATTGAGCATAGTTGAATAAAGACCAACGAAATGAGTGATGGCGCGCCTCATCTTATATGCTCTACAAACATTTGGTTTTGCTCTCTTTTTAAATTTATCAACAGGAATAAGTGTATAAAATTATTGTTTATATTGGGGAAATCTAAACTGCTTGCTATATAGCATTAATCCATGACTAAATGCGAATAAAAATACACTAATGAATTCCATATTATTGTGTCGGTTGAATATATCACACAGTGAAATAGTATTTAAATATTGGATCATTTTTTGAACTCAGTTAATGGATGGTCCATAGTTATGACAGTTGTAACCGTAGAACTTTATTCTTCTCCCTTTACAGTAAGGTTAAAATTCCAAAAATATTCAGGGTAGGTTTTGGATTATTTAATTCAATAAATAAAGCCTGTGTTGTCAATCTGTCTCACTCTTTTTACCCTGCTATATTACAGTTTAGGAGTGTCATTTTATTCCATCCTATCGTGATACTACGTGTAACTATGCATTTGGTGCCATGGCTTTGATCTTTTCTGAATTTCTTATACTCGTAGGGCTGACCTTCTAGTACCACTAACTGCTTATTAAAGTTAATACAGTGCTCATGTGCTGATTGTATGATCAGTTATTTGTGTCCAAGAACGATCATTCTGATGATAATAATAATAGTAACCTTGCCTTCTAAGAAATTACAAATTACAAAGTAATAGACTGATATAGAAACTTAAGTAGAGGTGCGTCGATTCATACTTCGAAACACACTCAGAAAAATGGAGAATATATGAAAGTGTGAATTATGCAAGACTACTGGACAAAAACGAAAAAAAACAATCTTTACAATTTAAAAGTTAATAAAGCTGGATGATTTGCAATTAACAGTGTTCTCTGAGCTGGTTGGTTTACTTGCGGAGCTTTCGCCGTCTTTCTGGACGACATCTTCCACGCAGTATTTAGCTTAAAGTCAAATGATTTAAAAATCTCCATGAATGATGATACAATTGCGTCTCCTGGTGACCAACCATCTTCACATATGTATTGACCGTTTTCTATTGACTTGGATTTTAAACTTTCTGGTCACCTGATTTACTTTTTATTAGTTGATATATTTCATCTATATTAACGTGTTTGTTAATTGCATTTTCGTTTTGTGTACCAGGCTTCTAGGGATTCCCTGGCACTTTTGGTGTTTCCTCTGTCTAAGATTTTGACATTATCCGAATCAAACTGATGTCCATAATTGTCAGTAAGCATTGATACTAAAGAATTTGTATCATGTTACGTATCATTTGATATAGATGTAGCACACAAACCGGCCGAATCGCTTAGTTCTATCTTATGCAAACCGAAAGATCCGGTAGAAAAAGGAGATAAAATTAACACCATTTACAAAATAAATTGTATGAACTGTAACAAACATTACATCGGCCAAAGTGGGCGTCCCCTTCGAATAAGAATCCAAGAACACAAATCAGCCGTGAAAAGACATGATATATATTCTTTAGTATCAATGCTTACTGACAATTATGGACATCAGTTTGATTCGGATAATGTCAAAATCTTAGACAGAGGAAACACCAAAAGTGCCAGGGAATCCCTAGAAGCCTGGTACACAAAATGAAAATGCAATTAACAAACACGTTAATATAGATGAAATATATCAACTAATAAAAAGTAAATCAGGTGACCAGAAAGTTTAAAATCCAAGTCAATAGAAAACGGTCAATACATATGTGAAGATAGTTGGTCACCAGGAGACCCAATTGTATCATCATTCATGGAGATTTTTAAATCATTTGACTTTATGCTAAATACTGCGTGGAAGATGTCGTCCAGAAAGACACGAAAGCTCCGCAACTAAACCAACCAGCTCAGAGAACACTGTTAATTGCAAATCATCCACCTGAGTTACAAATCTTTTCTATTATTTCAAAAATTGGAAGTGCTACTTTAAATTAATTTGAAATATTTATGTTTTTTTACCTAACAAGAATAGATAACTTCAGAACTACACAACTTTTTATATGATTGGAACAAGACGCCAGAAAAGAGACAGTTGTATATATGCATATGTAAGTTTCAATAATTTGATCAAAGTCTACCTAATCACTTTTTTTCATACATTTTCAGAAAAAAATGTATATCAACAACAGTTTGACAAAAAAATAATTAACTCTGCATAGCGCATTGAATTACATTGTCTTTCTGTTAATAATATATTTTGTATATAGTGAAATCAATGACTGTGTAAGACAAGTGCTGTTGTTCTATTCTATTCTTTGACAAAAAAAATGCAGATTGACACTTGATTTGCATTTGAATCAAATATACATGTGGTGTACACATATATCTAAACAATTAAAAAGTAATCATAGTATAGGTACTGCTTTCTGAAAGAAATTCTAAAGATATCAGTAATTCATAAATTAACAAAACAATCATTTGATTTTTATAGAGAAAAATAAAAATAAAGGTGAATGGTGATGCGAATCAACATTGTGAACACTGTGTATAAACACTGTTGGTGACATACTACTGACAAACATAAAAAGTAATACAAACCTTAACATCAGCAGATAACGAAGAAATGGATGATCGAGCTGATCCCTATATAGAAAAATAATAAAATAGATGTTCTAAAGTGGTATGAAAATAGGGAGGTCCTAATTGACTTTTAAGCTAAATGGCATAATAAAGACTAGTAGTCTGTTGAAATGTTCAACTACTTGGCTGTTCACTACGTGAGAAAAACAAACGGTGCGTTTCCACAGAAGACATTATCTCTTAGTTTTAAATGATAAGAGGGAATAGAATGAGGTGTTTCCTGTGGTCATTCATTTTATGCATAAGCGTATATATACATAAACGTAGAGATATAATTATCTCAAATTATAATCAGAAAAATTAGAATCTCCCCATTGGATAATAGCAATGCATTGAAGTAGTGCAAATTAACAGGAAACGTGATATTTATAAGTGAGCATTTCGCCTGTGGATTTATAATACTAATCAGAACAGTAAAGCAGAAGTGAAAATTGACTAAAACGTCTTTGAATTATATATAATATATATATTCTACAGTTTCGTTGACAGAATATTTATGCATACCAGGTGGTAAAAAAATATGCTAAAAATTTCCACATTGTTAAATACTCTTGACATGAAATTCCATTGAGATCATGTTAAAAATTTTATTCCCTTTATTTTTAAATTAAGCTATGGATTTCAGATGAAATTTGAGAAAATTTTTACACGGGGAAAACGAGATTATTTCCACATAGGCCAAATTAGATGCTGGAGAAAATTTGTTATTTTTGGCTGACCTAAAATTAGGGGAGTTTGCGTTTTGAATTTAAAAGTATATAACTGATCAAGGGGTCAAGGTGTTTTTAAGCTACTAATGCAACGGTAGAATTTTCGGAATTCTGTATCTCTATGTAGGCCAAATTATGTACACCTTATCTTCAATGCATCATTTGCACAGGTCTTTCTTGTTGTGCTACTTCTAGCTTTCATATTGTGTTTCTTTATGTTCCTTTCACGGCTCCCATTTGCTTTCTGTGACAAAAAATCTATGTACCTCCGTGCTATTTGATATTTTTAGGCCCATGAAGGTCTCTTTATATACTAATGATAAATTTATTAGTAGCACACGCCACACTAGCCAAGAAAATATTCTGTATTATTGTTTTAACATTTCACGAAGTGTCAGATATGAGATGATGGAAAATCTTACTGAAAACTGTCAGTCCAACAGAATAGAATACAGCAAAGACAGAATACAACAGCTCACGAGTTCCAACGTTTGTTATGTTTAAATCCTTTGAAGTTCAATATTTATAAGTAGATTAATTGTATGCTTTAGTTTACGCTCTGAAGGTGAACTCAAAAATTTCCATGGTACAGACTAAAGCGGAATAATTGATCGGAAAACCCTCCTGATCAGTGTATTTACACACTGATGCTGATGTGAATATTTCAACAAAATGTGTAGTTATCTCCCATCTTTTCCTTGACCCGTGCATGATCGTTCCAATATGTACATATCTTCTTTCGATTTAATCCTTATTACTAGTCTTTGTTCCTGCTTAATTTCCTATTCTTAATGTTCCACTGCTCTATTGGGTGACGATGGACTGTTGGTGATTGCATACTGTTTTACAATCGTGATTTTGATAGAATGAATTCGAGGTTACCTTGAGGGGACTATTTGATCTTGGGCTATCAACCTGAAGCATGTTTGGTATATTTAATTCTTTTCAGTGTCATGTTGGGAATAATGTATTCCCTAGTATTTCTTGCGGATTTTTCTCGTCAACTCATTTTGTTGTGTGTGTTACTTATTGTGTATCTCAGAAACGTGTGGGTTACATAGTTGCCTAACGGCATTGTTGACGTAGTTTTGCATTTTTGATATGTTATTACTGTTTAACACTGTACCACACATTTGATGACATCATCTAACAGTCTTTTTGTTACCGTTCAGATATTTTTGGGATTGTTACAGAAGAATTTCATCGATTAGTTCCCAGCGTTCAGATCGAGACACTTGAGTTTTCGGTAACTACACAGATATCAAGTGGATAAACACTGATTTACCTATAAAATAACAGTTAACATTCAACTTAACATTTACGAAGACTGTCATCAAACTGAAGAGCGTTAAACAAGAACATCGTGTACAGTTGGAAGAAAAAGGTCAGTAACTTCCAGAATGTTTTACCTGAAATAGTAGATATTTATTTCAAGTGTTAGTTTGCAGGGATTGATTGGTTACAGGATTTCATCATGAGCTGACATTAGTTAGAGAATCATTGGAAAACCTGCAGGAGGTACTGGACAGTTGTTTCGTCCTAGTTTGGGACTCTTCAGTTGTACGCACCCACCGCCACGGTTCGAACCCATGACTTTCTGGTTACAAGGCAACCTCGTAAACCATGTGTTTGAACCCCGGTGGGTGCATACTGTTGAAGAGTCTCAAACCAGGATGAAACAACTGTCCAGTACTCCACGTTTTCCAATGGTTCCCTAATTAATGTCAGCTCATGATGAAATCCTGTAACTAAATATTTAATTCTTTTTATACTCAAATCATCAGTCCAAAATACAGAAATATTTTAAAACCAAACTACTAATTTAAATATTCCATCTAGATTCTTAGATGGAATAGTCCAGTGTATGAATACAAATGCTCGAGAAAGGAGGATCAATTGGTAATTGAATATTGATTTCATCATGTTACTATCGTTTATCATTTTATTGAATGTACCTGGATGTACGTAGATACATCCATATAGACAGTCAGTCTGATAACACTCTTACAAACATTAAAAATGAAACAGACTGTCTAATGGACAGAAACTTAAAAATTGTGGTTATATATTCCAACTAGCTGTTGGCTAATGCAGAAACAAAAATTGGTGAATCCTTACTAACTAAAATGGTTTCACTGGATCATAATCACATCAAATTAAATAATGCATATATCTGAAAGAGAGATAATGTTAAAACAGTAAGCACTGGACTAAAATCAAACGTATAGTGCAAAATATATAAGCAGCATCAGTGGTACATCCACCTACATAAACTCAGCAAATTATCGTGAATGTTTACTTGTGTACTAGAAGAAGAAGAAGGATAAGTGAGCTCTCAGTTGCAAGCACTACAACCTGCTTTCACCTAGTATGATGACTTACCAATTTACTTTGATAGTTTCTTAAAGTCTCTTTCCATCGTCATTTTCATAAGCCTAATTTTACAAAATATTCACGTATAATAGTAAATTTCATAAAAGCGTATATTAAATTGAATATATAAACCTTGAGCTTTAATTTGTCATACATGCAGATGTTAGTTAGACGTCAAGGGACAAATAGACATTTTAAGAAATATTAAGAAAAAAACCTTAAGATGAATTCGGCGAACCTGCAGAGTATCAAATTACCGCCTAACCCAATTGTGATAAGCATTCTCCAGTTCACCTAATAAAAAGTTAAATAATCACAGAAAGCTAAAAAGAAACGGTTTTGAAATGGAGGGTTCGACGTCTGGCTAGTGACCCTACACCATGAAAGCTATTAAACCGCTACAGAAACTTTAACACACAGAAAATATATATTAAAAATATGAAAAAATTCAAATGTCAGTTTTGTTCTTTGCTGGAATCGGAGAGGCGAAATGACACAGTGGGCTGGGGAAGGCCTTAGGGAAGCCAGTCAGCCGATGCGTCTTCTTTCGATGAAAGCAAGAATGAAAATGGGGGAGGTGGAATGTCCGTACAATGTACGAGACTGGGAAGGCTGCCCAGGTAACCAAAGAGATGCGAAGATATGGCATGGAAGTACTGGGTATCTGCGAGAGAAGATGGAAGAGAAATGGATTATCAAAATTTTAAACCGTAGAGTCAGCAATCTACTCTGGTCGGGTAAACCAGACGACAACCACGAGCACACTGAGGTAGTGAGTGGCTATCACGATATCACCAGTGGCAGTCAAAGCCATAATGCAGTGGGAACCAATCTCCTCGTCCAGGATTATGCCAGCAAGATTCAATCCAGAAGTAAGGAAGGTCACAATTATCATGTGATGCTAAGCACAATGCTACAAACAACGCGGATCAAAAGAAGAAGGAAGATATTTACAAACAACTACACACAGTAATGGACAATATTCCAAATGGTGACATCAAAATCCTCATGGGTGACGTGAATGCCAGCTGAACAGAAAGAAGACAACAGAGGAAGAGAACCCATCATGGGTCGAGAGGCTATCGCTCGGAGGAATGAATGAGAACGGAGAATTATTCGCAGACTCAATGCAAAGATGAGCAACAGAAGAAGAAGCTGAGTTCAATATACACTGCACTGAGTTAAGAAGTGAAGAAGGGTGCTAGGAAGGACAAAAGTCAATTCTACGACACACTGGCAGGCAACTGAAGCAGAACAGGCAGGCCATAGGTAAGACGGACCTCAGGATATTATGTCAGATAATTAAGTCTCTGTCCGGGAAGAGATCAACCCAGACGATGAAACCAATAAAAATGCTGAAGAGAACCAGATTACCAAGGAGGAGAAACAATGAACTGATCACTTCGTAGGACACTTAAATCGATCATCAACACCTACAACTCGTCCACAAATACTGCCACTACTAACAACACTCACAGAACTGCCTGGCAGTGGACACCAATCCTCCAGCGAAAGCAGAAATCTTGAATGTGATAAAGGTAGTGAAGTCCTGGAGGGCTGCAGGCCCAGACGCCATTCCCCCTCCCCAAAGCAGTGGAAACGGACCTAGCGGCTGCCGCAAATGTGCTCACGCCATTACTACGAAAGGTTTGGGAAGAAGGAAAGTTACCTGCCAATTGGAAAAAAGATTGTCTACCTTGTCAAGCTTGTAAAGAAGGTCGACTTAGACCTGTTCAACAACGGCATGGAATAATGCTTTTGTCCACTCAAGTAAAATACTAAGTCGCATCACGCTGGAGAGAATAAAGGATGCACTGGATACAGAAATCCACCCCACAGGAACAAGCTGGACCCAGAAAAGGCAAATCATATGCTGATCAAATTGCAACTGTATGCATCATCATTGAACAAAGTATAGAGTAGTAGTCAAACTTGTACCTCAACTTCATCGACTTTGAGGAGGCCTTAGACAGACAGCGCTGACCGAGGAGTAATTTGGAAACTACTTCAACACTGCGGCGTGCAGCACCCCAAGTCTTTATCAACTTCATTTCACAGCTGGTTATATGACATTGCCACGTGTCAGGTGATTCACAATGAAAACCTCAGTGAGGCGTTCCAGGTGTACACAGGAGTAAGACAAGGCTGCCAATGATGATATTGTTAATTGTGGCTGCCTGGATTATCTGTCAGACTATGGAGGGTGAGAAGAAAGCAAGAAGATCGGAGATGTGCATGCGAAAACCAAAAGACTGGCTGGAGAGTCGAGGCAAGCAGCGAAGACAGGAAGGCAGGTGAACGAAGAGATGACGGAGGTGATGAAGATAACCACGCTCCATCAGTGACAACAACCAGCACTAATCACCAACGGGAGAGATTTAAAAGAGGTTGCCTCCTTCACTTATCTAGGCAGGCAGCATCGTCTCAACTACACGCGGAACTGATGAAGATATCAAAGCTGGCCAGGCAGAATCGAAGGGGCAAGATACGCCTTCATCAACCTGAAACCAGTTTGGAAATCTTCTGCACTCAGTTAGTATAAAGAACCAGACTCGAATTTTCAACATGTCATATCGGTCCTTCTATATGGGTCACAAACTGGCAAAGGCAATTACAACAGGTGACCGGCTTTTATCAACAGCTACCGCCTTCTCCGGCTCCATACTGAAGATCAAATGGCCGGCAGGCTGGCCAGAAAGAATTAGTAACAAGAAACTGTGGGAAAAAATCAACCAAGGCCGATCACTCCACAAATATGTAGGAGAAAATGGAGATGGGTTGAGCATGCTTTGATGAGGCCGTCATATGACATCACGTGTCAATTCCTAGATTGGAATCCAAATGGGAAGCGACGAGTGGGTCATCAGTGAAAGCGTGACATGGAGGAGATCGTGCGAGGAGGAGATAAGAGATTATCGTCAATCGTGAACTGAGCTAAAGATTGGAAATGTGTCGTTGAAGCCGTATGTTTAACTCGAAACCCAAGGGAATAATAATAATTTAATATGATTTTGAAATAGACTCAGTACACACCATTTAAAAAGACTATGACTATACTGAGTTTTGCATTTTACACTGTAGTGTATTCACTCATTTTCATTTATGTCAGGATATATGATACCACCTTCCATAACTTGTCACTGAAACGTATCGAATAAAAGGTACTGAAAAGTAATTTAGGCCACCAAAATGCGAATTTGTTGCATAATGGGTCCTATTAAACACGAATGATAAACTGAAGGCATGGGACTAATTGACTGATATATATATCTCTTTCTGAATGCCTTTAAAACACCCTTTTATTATTATTATTTTAAATTGTTATTTATTTTATTCCTTTGTATCCCCAGAGGAATATAGGGCTTGAAGCTTGAGCTTTGACGTTTCAGGAGCAGTGATTCTTTTCTTTATTTCTATGAGATGGTATTGTTAGCTTCACACCCAATCTGACCCCTTTACTGGGCTTACTATCAGTAATAAAGAGGCCTATGATTTCATCGGCCTGGGCATTTCTACTGCTAAACCATTGACTCATGTTGTTATAAGATAGTAAAATAATTGGAATATACCCAAACAGAAGAGCTTAGATCTTTTGTTAATAAGCTTAGGAGACAAACTTGTGGAGTATATCATCTTTTTTCCAACCAACTACTATACACAAATAAAGAAGAGCCATTTTGACAATAGCCATCCAGATGAAAAAAAATTATAGATACAATATAAAAATAGATGAATACTCGTGACTGATATCTTAATTAAGAGAAAAAGAAAAGGCTACTACGATGAATGTTGAACTGCTTTTTTCAATTTTCATTCTGAACTTTAAAAAACAAAACCCTGGAAAAAACTCTTCCTGTTTTAAGAATAAAAAAAAGAAATTCTTGAATATTCTAACTGAAAACAATTTAAATGACATCTGCAAAAAAATATTAATTATAGTTTGAAGAGAAATTTTTAATTTCAACTGAAAACTTAAAATTGAAAGATTCCAGAAAGATCATTTAAACTCGAAATGTAAACACGAAGAGAATAAGAAATGTATGTTACATGGTGGATTTTTGAATTGTTCATGAAAACTATTTTCTCTACTTTTAGAGTACTGCGACATGCGATTAAAGATGATTAAAAACATTCAAGTGAGTGTTAATGGTCCAATGACAGCACGTTTGCCGACCACGCATATGACTCTGATTCGATTCCTGGCTGACGGACTCCTTAACCTCTTTAAGCCGATATTAAGCCCGGTAAAGGAAAATGAGAGATGGGCGTTAGATTAACAACCATACCCTGTGAGAAAAACACATCACTACTGCTAAAACTCCAAAAATTAAGCTTAAAGTCCGATATATTTCACTAGGAACTCAAAGGAATGAAAGAAACACATCTAAAAACTAATCCGGCAAAGTCCTTTAAAGGATGAGTAGTACTGAGACCCATTCAAGTATTTATAAATGAATACTATTAAAGCTTTAATTTTTACAGATTATTTCTCTCAGTAGAAGACGAAAATTATTAGCGGTCAGTAAAAACAAAAAGCACATTCCAATTAATTAACATCCATAGAAGCGTTTTAAATCATTTTTGGCATATTAAAGTTTTAAAGAAAAGCTTAATTTACCAGTAAAATAAAATAAATATTGAAATAAAAGAATAATAATTACTTTCGTCTGAAACGCAGTAAATTTCTATATTGATGATAATATTAATCTGATGATAGGGTGAACTGTTTAGAAAGACGTCTATGTTAAATCTTCTCTAGGTGTGACCACTAGATTTCCATCCAACTAACCGTAGTGTGCAACTACAGAAGTGATATATGACATTCACTATTTTTCAGTACTAGCATTTGTCACGTTTCTCACTTTACTGTAATCCTAGTTCGAAGTTCTGGAACTAAGTTTGGAATTTTTATTATCCAATGACACCTGGCTTGGTGATCACATTTCAGGCTTGATTGATGGGATTTACCCTGCAATAAAGACTAGAAAACATAACAGTGGTTTGTCTTGAGTATCTAATGAATTTATTCACTGCAGTTCTACAAAACATCAGTCCCCAGGAGGGTGGCTCATTAGTAATGTCCCTAACTGCAACACTGGATGATGTGGTTGAGTACACCATTGGTGACATCTGTTCCTTAGATGATGCGAATAACGCGTGCTGACTAAAGCCAGGAAAACTAGATAAACGGTCTCCTGTTGACTGCCTTCATATATCCAACACAATTATTTCGCCCCACATAGTAGCTACTTAACCAAGCGCAGTCACATTAGTTGCTATGATCATGTGCTGCAAAAGATAACCTTGCTTTCCTCCATTACATAATTATTCAGTCATAATACACTCATAAGGTCATATAGAATGAAAGTAAATGATGGCATTACATTACAGTGCCTCTTTATCAACACAAAAATCTGTCGTCGGGATTTAAGATTAAATTCTCTTAACAAAGACACATATTCTTACATCACAATTTTCATCATATACATATATATATGCATAACAAAAAGTGTGATTAAGGCATGCATTATCTTTTCACAGAAAACTGTAAACAACTTACAGGATTCACACCCTCAGGTAGGTATCCTAAAAATATAACAGTGAACAATTAGTTAAGCAATAAAATTTTCATTAAAATATGTCCACAGTATGCAAATCATATATATATATATATATAATGTATTTATCCGTACACTAATATTCAGTAATCCCATTTGTTCTGAATGAGAGACAAGAAGAGTGCTAACCATATGGGTAGGCACTTTTATAAGGTGTTTGTACAACTAAAAATTGGTTCAACACATTACAGTCTTCTACTGTGTCGAATAATGGTTTACAAATTTTTGGAAAGAAGTCGATTTACACTTAGCTATTAATAATGTTCTTAGTTCACTGGAAATAAATATTAAAGAAAATCTCTGAAATGATAGATTCAAATTTCCAACAATCCATCTTTAATTTAATAAAGTTTGATATTTTCCTGTCGATTGATTGGACCGAAGTGCTCGGTCTCAGGTTGATATGTCGGCTTCTTGTGCAAATACTTCTATGATGTCTGGGCATTTAATTAGAATTTATCTGGTGGGGGTGGTGACTAGCAGTGGAATTCAAGATGCACATTTCGTCCTAATTAGGACTCGTCAGCTTGATGTGCCAGCATTTCCCGGTGAATGGTGATGTTCTCACAGAGGCTCGAACCCAGTGCCCACAGTTTCAAACTCGAAAGCGTTACCCGCTAGACCACTTGGGCCACGACAGCCACATTATTACTCGCTGATTTAAACCAAGTTTAAATGTTACCTGTTAAACATACTATTAAAAATCAACAGAGAGTAAGTGAACTCTACATGTGTCTGCATAAATATGAAGTTCTACGTAATAAAGTTCTACTTATCAGCTGAAGTGAAGTGTATAGTCAGTACTGCATATATATTATGTACTAGTGGCCAAATTATTGTTATGTACTGGTCGAGAATTTAATAGTCCTGACGCAAGAAAGACGGAAATCAGAAGACCACTAGGTTTGCGATGATACTTCTATTTTCCAAAACACAGGAGAATCAATCAATGTGTCACACAAGAGTGTGAGAGCAAAATATATATGAATGTCCGAAAGTGTGTGAACACAAGTGTGTGAGCGAATATTCAAAATGAACAAATCAATAGACAGTCTTAACATGATTGGCTAATTATAATGGAGTATCGATCCATATATACATAGCAAATATACAGACTATCAAACAAACACATATTATATATAATATAAGGGGAATATACATTGTTAAAGGAGACAGGTTCATCAAAGTGAAATGGTCACAGACTAAGAGAGCAACAGAAAGAGAGACCACCATACATATATATATATGGATACATATCAATATACCACGGTTGAAAACTACTCATGTCAGCATGTGGTGTTTACAAACTATATTAAACTGGTCTAAACACTATACAACCATTTCTATCGTTCGAGGACTATTACATCAGTCGTCTACCGAGATTGAGAGAAATCAGAAAGCAGAATCATCTGAACCTACTTTACTTCTAACTAGCTAGATGAGTAATGCATAGAATAAATTATACATTCTGAGATGAAAATTTACCACAGTTTTTTTGCGAATACAACATATCCTGATGACACTAGCAGGTCGTACTCGCTGATGTGAGTAATTCCTAATTATTAACATTAATCAGGAGTATATGGAGTCTTTCAACTTCGATTATTTTCTTCATTGATTCCTATTATATCATACGTCGTTGATCTACATATTTCAGGTTTCCAAAGAAAACGATACACTCATAGAAACAAAAGATTCTACACTAACGATTTTTTGTATTGATGGAAAGCTAAACATTACTCAAGTGTTTGTTTGTAGGGATTTGATTAGTTAGGGATTTCATCATGAGCTGACATCAGTTAGAGAACCACTGGAAAACAACCTGGGAGTACTGGACAGCTGTTTCGTCATAGTTTGGGACTCTTCATCAGTACGCACCCACCGCCACGGTTCGAACCGAGGACCTTCTGGTTACAAGGTGAGCTCGTATACCATTAAGCCGCTGGGACCCAATCCAATGGCTCATGAATTCTAACTTCTGCCAATTCATGACATAGCGCGACCACTAGTTAATGTCTTCGGCGAGTATCTGTCCTCAAACCTGACCTGTTGCACCCTACTGGTCACGACTTCTCACTAGAATCCCAGGTAACTACGTAGCAGGATACGGCAAGTCGCTAGTGGGCATCTCATTGATGTCAGCTCATTATGAAATCCTGTAACTAAACATTGCTATTTGAAATATGCTAACAATTAAGTGAAGAAAAGTAAATCTATGCCAATGACTCAGCCACAAAGAGAGCAACAAATAAATGTGCACACATATCCAAGATCAAAAAAAAATCCTCAGTAAATGCATAGTTGATAAAAGTATCGAATTCATTATCCTATGCAACAGCAATGAAGACAGCATTTCTAATGACGTTGAGAATTGTGTTTTGATGGAATTTGGATTCAGGAAACCATACAGTTAGTGAAGCATTCACAGTATGAGTAATAGATATTTCGTATCATAGTATTGCATGTCTGTAATAGTGCAATCCTGCAAACATGAAATCTTTGACAAATCAACCAATTTCTATATATGGACAGCTGTTCGAATTAAAAAACTCTACCTTGATCTACCAAATATATTCCCACTACACAAAGAATAGCAAAATAAAGTGAATACGTGCTTTTAAAATTAATTTTCCTTATGCGATCAGAAAAGTAACACTGATTGGTAAGTGGGATGATGGTTTATGTAGAAAGTACCTGGAAATCTAAAATTTAATGACATATAAACACACATCCATTATCGATTTATCACAAGCTGGGAGAAAAGGGGAAAAAATTCACACGAAATGACCAATTTTATCATTAGACACATAACACAAGACTTTAAGGCAAGTGATAATGAATCCTTGCTCTGTCTAAGTCACAGTTGTTTCTAAGATGTTAATTTCTTGTAGGATGACCAAAAGTTTCAAATGCAGATTGCATAGGATCTTTCCATACGCTGCCAACTTCTAGATCAACAACGAACATGCTGTTCAATAAACGGCATCCGAATGAAAACTGGGCTTAGAATCAACCCACTCAGTCATGTCATAGACAAGCTTTCTGATGAACAAAAGCAAACAACTAGAGATGTAACGTAATATCGAATGAATTAATACAAGTCTTCCTAGCCACACAATGTTTGCAAATCAATCTATTAACAACTATCACAATGTAATATTTCGCCAGTTCTATCTAAAGTTAAACAAGGACAGCACTAATGGCTTGTATATCACTGGAACTAGGAAGATTGATTCCCGAAAGGGTAGAATTTCCACTCACAAAAAATGATTAAAATATCTTCAGAACAGAAACGTGTTATGCAGCACACTGCTGTTGATAAACTTGAGTAACACAGTGAGAATAGCTTTAACAGCTTCTGTAGAAAATAGTTCACGTCTTTGTCATCCTTAAGTCATTTCACGCTAAAATCAAGGCATCCTTCATTATACTGTCTAATAAAAAATATCCAAAATAGACAAAATGTGATAGGCATCGCACCAATGAAAATCAACTTTCCATGGCATATATTTCAAATATCAGTATAAAAAGACTAGATCTAAGGTATCAACCATAAAATAGTCAATTTTGTATCTTATTTTGTGTGTCGGTGGCACAGCAGCAGAATACTCGCCAACCACGCATATGGTCCGGGGTTTAATCCCCGACCGACGCACTCCAAACCTCGCCAAGCCAGTAATAAACTGGTGAAGGGGGAAGGTTGGGCATGTGGGTAGCAACCCCATCCCTTAAAAGTAAAAACCACCGCTACCGAAAATCCAAGTCTCTAGCTTGAAGTCCTATTTTCCACTGGAAACGTCCAGGAATAAAAACAAAACAAAATTTTAGATATAAGTGGCTTTTGGTCCATATGAGTTTTTAATTTGCAAAATGTATATATATCGTTACCTGCCCAGTATTGTTCAAATTCAGCTTCATCAGAAATGTGACCTTTAACATCTGGATGCCAACGTTCAGCAAATAAAATAGCCCGAAGTACATCATATTGATCATTGCCTTGAATACAATCTTGGGCTAGTGCAGACTTTGCAACTTCATCAAGAGCTTGACCAAGTGTAAGTGCATCACTGTGTATAATTTTCAAGTCTGTTGTAAAATAATAGCACAATAGAAATTTATCCTAAATGCATTAAAATACACTTGTAGTAAAATAAATAAAAAAACAAAGAGGTAGTTAAAAATAATTAGTGGATGAAGACAAAGTTCGAGTAATAGTGCACACCTAGACTTACTCAAGAGAGCATGTCAGCTGACACTGATTGAACCTGCCTTAGTACAAGTAAGTAATTCGATGTCAGCTAACCTACTAACAAAATTATCAATGCACTGCAAAAAGAATTTGACCGACAAGGTGTGATGTAATAAGGAACGACTCATGTTAGGGGGTTTAAATATGTTTGTTGGTAATTTCGAAAATACACAAATCAGTCAAGTCCAAAACGAAAAAATTGTAAAATTAGCACTACGCTTTTAAACTATTGTCCAGTCATTTCACTGGAAATATGTTGCATAACAGAACCATAAAACTGACTTCAATAATTTTCCTATTTATACTTTCATTATACTTCTTTGCTATTTGTGAAGGACAGACTGTGAATTACATCATTTCCACTACTACACGTAAACCAGAAATAGGCTCAGCAAGTGTTAGTTAATAATGAAACCTAAATAATACGAAAGAGAAACGATTAGTTTCTGCAAAGATTATTCTAATTTCCGAGTGCTTCTCAATTCATAAGAATGAAAATTATGTTGAATCTCAGCTATAACATTTCATTTAAATGGTTCGGTTTTCAATACCTTCAGTATTAATGTGAATAGTATGTATTCACAATACCTAGTTCATATATAATGCCATTCTTGCCATTAACATTTAGCCATATTTATGACCTTCTGTCCACACACCTAGATAGAACGGATGAGCCTTATTATGTTATGAAGGCTCCTTTAAAGGGTCTCTCAATATTACCAAGATTAATAACCAGAAGTCAAATGTTTGGTGGTGGCCAGTAGGGTAATAAACGGCAAGCGTTCCATTCAATTTGAAATTCATCAGTCTGATTTACCTCTTTCACAGGAAGTGATGGTGTCCTCCGTAAAATTCTAATCCAACTCATATTATTTCAAACACTTCAAAGCGTTATTCACTTGGCCACTTGATTGTAGATTCTAATTCATCTAAATGTGATGAACAAAACACTCAAGTGTGTTATCATCTCAAAGATGAAGTTTCGTGCGTGAAATGCTTCACTTTCCTGTACCTTTAGGAATACGTTCTTGGAGTCTGTGTTTACTGTGCACTTTGGAGTGCGATATTATTGGCAGTAGATTTTGTTTTGTCTAAAACCAAGTAAGGTTAAAATAATACAAGATGGCAATGTATCAGGTCAAAGGTAATTGGTCTGAGCTACATACAGCAGCGTGCTTTTGATGACCTCAACTTTTTATTTAGAGAAAAGGTATATTCTAATTAGATTATTGTGGCCAAGAATGCTGACGAATTACCTTAGAATTCAAAGAGAATAAATTCTCCAATATATTATCAAACTAACTGAAAATTGAAAAGGAAGATGACGTCGATACAAGGTATAAACACCATCAAAACAACCAAACTTCTCAAATTAATTAAAGGAGCCTCTTTTAAATATATATATATATATATGCACAGTCAAATGACTTCTTTTTCTCATAAAACAACATTAGTGGTGATTGTCAAAGCGATACTAAATCGTTTGTCGATTAAAAGAATGACGCAGTGAAAACGCCCGCAAAATTTGTTGACTGTAGGCAGACAAATGTTTTCAGCAGGTTATGTAACACTTCTGATTAGTGATCCAAGATGTCACACCAAGTATAGTCAAAAAACAGAAACATAGATGTTACCAGTGCGTCGGTGGCACAGCAGTTAGGACGCACGCCGACCATGCACATGGTCCGGGGTTCGATCCCCGGCCACCGACGCACTCCTTTACCTTGCTAAGCTGGAAATAATGCTGGTAAAGAGGAAAGATTGGGCATGAGGCTACCCCCTCGTCCTGTAAAATTAAACACTGCGACAGAAACTTCAAGCCCCTAGCTTGAAGCCCTATGTTACACTGGGAACGTGAAGAAAAATTATTAAAAAATTATTATTAGATGTTACCATGTGATGGTAGGTACACAAATATTACGCAACAGTTTTAAACGTTATCAATAAATTAAAAACACTCTTTCATTATGTGTTATACCATATTAATTGTTCTACTGTAAAATCCTAGCCCACTACATTTAGCATACAGTATCAACTGGCCGATAATATTAGAAAATGTTGCACTGTATTCATATAAATCATTAAATATCCCTAAGCAATATTCTTTTTTCTTTTTTCTATTTTCTTGAAGGCATACTTGCTTGTACTGCTGTATTCACCCTTATCAGTGTAAGAACATCTATATACTCTGCTTTTGCAGGTTCATTCGTATTCAATAGTTAATATCTGTCTGTGTAAATATGTCAGGTAAATATGTTAAAGCACAGTTATGCAGAAAATGTAGGGTATAGTATCAACATAATTCACTGTTATAAATAAAAGTCAATAAGTATTATGATTAGCATACTAATAAGTAGTCATAATTACTATACAACAAACTGTCTACGATATAACACCATATGTAATATAAAAATATAAGAATGAAATGTGTATACATTAGAGAATACGTACAAAATATCGACTGAATACATGGAAGGGAAACAAACATCTGTATCATTCTAATATTCTTTATTTCCGTAAACTTGTTTTTATATATTTGAAACAAAGAAGAAAGTAAAACAAAAATTATAAAATCGCCAAAGTATAGTGTATTATTTAGTAATTTACACACAATACACTAACTACTGAATAAATGATGAATTTCTTCTTGAACAGATATCATTTTATTTAATTGAATTTCAGATTTTCCCGTCGACTGATTGGACCGAAGTGCTCGATCTCAGGTTGACATGTTGGCTTCTTTAACAGATGCTTCGAAGATGTCTGGGCATTCAATTAGTATTTAACTGGTGGGTGGTGACTAGCAGTGGAATCCAGGATGCGTATACTAATTGAATGCCCAGACATCTTCGAAGAATCTGTTCAAGAAGCCAACATGTCAACCTGAGATCGAGCACTTCGGTCCAATCAATCGACGGGAAAATCTAAAATTCAATTAAATCAATATGAACCGTTGCAAAAGAGGGGCTCTCGTGGCCCTAGTGGTCTGGTGGATAACGCTTTGGCGTCTGAAACTATGGGCACTGGGTTCGAGCCTCCGTGGGAACATAATCACTCATTGAGAAATGAAGGTACATCCAGATTACGAGTCTCAAATAGAACTAAATGCTCATCCTGGATTCCAATGCTAATCACCGTCCACCAATTACATATCATTTTACACTACCATTGAAAACTAAGAAGCACTGAAGAAAAGCCATTTCATCCTAGTTAGGGATTATTCGACAGTGCATAACCATGGCTATATCGGAGATTTAAGTTATGGGGTCAAATCACCAACCTTTCAACCACTAAGATGGAATTCAATCTAACTTCTGTGATTTCGTCAAATATTTAGCACCATCTTTCAACCAATATCCTCAGTGAATGTTTACCCGTACACCCGACTTGGTAGACACCGCTGGTCAAGACTTCTCGCTAGAACTCTAGACAAATTTATTCTGTAGTTAATCACTAATGAGCACTAGACTAATTCTGAATGGGTTAAAGCTAAAATTTGTAATAATAATAGTCTATTTAATTTCAAAACAGTACTTGTAATAGAGAATGGAATTCTCAGCATTTTTCACAATACTGCATCTGACTTACTCAAAATATAAATAAAGTTAACTACAGGAATTTGCTTACATTTACGGTATAAATTCGAAAATATTCGAGGTACAAAATGAGAATAATAAATATAATAATAACAGTGGATTTTTTCAGACAGTATTGTTGATTCAGTTTGGAAATTTTGGCATGTTATAGATTATTGAATCTAAAGTTCTGTTGATATAGCATGGTGAGGGGAAAGACAAGAGAAAACAGTTACTACACAGCCTAAATGATGTTTACGCGTATGGGAAAAAAATAGTAATAATTGGAATAAATATATAAATATAAGAAGAACAATAAGAATAAAGCTTGGTGGAATAAGGATGGAGAGAAAGGTTTATTTACTAGTGCAAATAAGGTTAGTTAGTTAGTTAATTAGTTAGTTCGTTTTTGACACTATTGGATTATCGGATTTTGCCCTACTGACAGAGCAGTCAACAGGCTTGTCTCGTAATCTGATGGTCTTAGCTTTTACACTTTGGAGAGTTCATAGATGCGTTCTGTTGAATAGTTCTAGACTAAAACAGATACCAATTACTTACAGCTTTTAATGGTTACTTAACTAATGTTAGTTCACTATCTAATTGTAAAACTTAATTTTCTATAGTTTGGTTTGTAAGGATTAGTTTCGTTTTTTACGAGTTGATCACCGATTAGTAGAAGTTAGAATTCATGAGCCAGCCACTGAATCGGGTCCTACTGACTGAATGGTATACGAGCCAGCTTGCCTTGTAACCGGAAGGTCCTGGGTTCCAGCCCTGGGTGGTGGATGCCTACTTCCGATGATTCCCAAAGAGCTAGGATGAAACAGCTGGTTGTCCAGTACTCCCTGGTTTTCAATGCTTCTCTGGCTGATATCAATCCGTGATCAACTCGTAAAAACTTAAGCTTTAAAAGTACTTTTTTGGCAGTGTATTAGAATGAATTCTAGGAACACTAAGATGTACACGGTCAGGAAAAAAAATTATCCTCGTGTAAATGAAATTCTCACTGAAAACAAAACAAGGTAAAAATTTAATGCTAATTTTGATTTTTAATGAAATTTTCACATCCATTTTCTCGGTTTAAATATATATATATGTGTAAAATTTAATATTTGAAAAATTTAGATTAAAAAAATAAAATAAAAGAATTTTTAATTAATCAACTTTCCATTAAACATGCATTATCAATATGAACAAAGTTCAATAATTTATATCTACATTAAACCACCTAGTTGTTACATGGAATTTGTACTCCTATC